TAATCAAAAGAGACAGAGGGAAAGACAAGTAGCTCGGTCATTGGTCATGGTTTGGCGGGTGGGTGGCCGTGCTGCGATGCGGGTGGAGTACGCTAACGGTACTAGTACTTTTTTCACTCAACAAAATTTCACTCTACTGCTGCTACAGACCCACTTCACCTTGCCCATGAAAGGACCAGGTTCCAGAGACGTGAGCACAGTTTGTCTCCCAGGAACTTTGTCTTCAAAAAAAATCTTAGGCTGTGCATCGAGCTAGTCATTGATTCAGAATGACTAAGATATTGAAGAGGTGGAGTGGGCAAACGCTAAACCTTACGATCTACACTCACCTTCGATGATCCTTACCCTTATCGTATGCGAGGTAAACTAGTAGCTATTGAAGAAAAGTGCCACACTCGAAAATGCACCAAAACGAGGGTGGAAGGTAGAGAATTCTAGACAATGTTTCGGGATCTAGCGCAACGCAACGTGTCACACGTTTGGTTGCTCGCTGCATTGCCTCGGCATCAACTTATGTGCCGCACTTTATGAGTAACGGGTAACCGAATTCGAGCTCTCACAACTCTCCGAATTCATTTCCGTGAATGCTCCTGTGACGCAGGTGGCATACTTTTACAGCTGCCAGCCTGTGCCTCGGGTGTGTGACAAGAGAATCGTAATTCGCCGTTCTAGTGGGCGACGCTTGCGATGTCGCGCCCGCAAATGACGATGGTTCCAGGTAGTAGATGGCGACAACAGGCAATTCAGAACCGAAAATAGTCATGAATGTCTACGATGACGGGGGTCTACATGAAGTTAGGTGCTAAAATCGACAGGTTATTACGAGTTACCGATGGCGGGCCTAAACATGCCATCTCAAGCATTGAAAGCTCTGCCTGTTGTGTTCCCGAAAGAGAACGCCGCGCTCTGTGGAGCGGCAACTTACGATTCTCTTGCATCTCCTACATGGCAAAGAGTCATCTCGTAGATATGCTAGCTTCCAGCGTATCTCACCTCTCGTATCAGTCCCTTGTGACTCCTTAGCTTTCACTGGTAAAATCTATATGACCCAAGTCGTAGGATTTCGGAACGAAAAACATGGTAGGGTCTTGATCATAGCCTTGGTGAAGTTGGTCCTAGCCGTCAAAGTTCGGAGCTTTTAGATAGTTCGATGACGATAAAAGCAGACGGTTTTTCATTGCTACGTCATTTAGTGGGTACCGATGGCGGGCTAAAACATGCCATCTAAAGCATTGAAAGCCCTGCCTGCTGTGTTTCAGAATGTGTGTACGAGTGTTCATGAGGAAGGAGTAGACCTTGTGCTCTCTTCAGCAGGTTTCACAACAGTTTCCAAGACTCTGCAACAGTAACTAGCGGAACGGGAATTCCGACACCTCCAACACTTATCTATCTGGTTTCGA